TATTTAATCCCATTCTATTAACCAATGTCTTTGCTTCTGACCTTCGATGATCCAGTTCAACCGTACTAATAAGCTAAAATACTCTAGACAAACATTTGTGTATCTTTCTTTTATTGCTGAAGTGAGTTGAAATTTCTTCTTCTGCATTCTACTGTACGGACTTAAATGTACTTTCCCTTCAGCCTGAGGCTTATTCATTTCACTTTTGGTGTGAAAAGGCTTTTATATTTGCCAAAAATAGAACTTTTTTATTTTAAATACAAACAAGCAAGCCATGTCCAGATTTTAAAAAGTAACGCAAAAGTAACGTAACGCATTACTTTCCATAAAAAGTAACTAAGTAACGTAATTAGTTACTTTTTTATGGAGTAACGCAATATTGTAATGCAGTACTTTTACAAGTAACTTTCCCCAACACTGCTGATGATTCAAACGCAAGGTTTGAGCAGTGTAGAGTAGCACTTGTTGTTCGTTGCTTCTCCGATCACAAATGCAGACATGGTTTTATGTTTACGCAGCTTCAACGTGTAAAAAGACAATAAAAGTCATTATAATCCGTAATTATGTCCCCACTGGATGCAACAAATGCCTCGTTTGTAATGGGTTTTATTGGTTTTGTCTCATCGTGCCGGGAGACGGCATCACAGTATGGTGAGGGGCGTAACATTTCCGTCACACGCTTGAGGTATTCGGCCAATCACAACACACTGGATAGCTGGCCAATCAGAGCACACTTCATTTTTTTTAGAACGATGAGCTTTGTAAAGATTGACGCGTTTCAGAAAGGCGGAGCATAGAGGAGCAACTATAATGTACAGTATGTGGAAAATAATGTGTTTTTTTAAACTTAAACCGCATAAACACATTTCATTACACCAAATACACAAAAAATATATATATTTTTAGCAACGTCATATGACCCCTTTAACTTAATTTCAGTTAAAGCTCTGTAAATAATTCAGTCTCACCCAAGAGAGTGTTCAAAGCGATTGTGAGAAGCACCGGGATACACCAGATATGTTCCTCCCAGCTGTTTGATGTGTCTGAGTCTCTGAAACTGAGGAGTGTCGATGATCTTCACCAGCAGGGGGTGCAGCTCCATGTGTCCATGAATGGTGTCGTTGAAAATCTACAGGATAAAAAAAACAAAAATCACTGGTTTATCACACTAACATGAATTTGTGACTCAATGTACAAAGTTCTGTGAACATTCCATAGCTGAGCTTATGAGTGAGTCATTGAATCATTCTCTCAACTGATTCCCAATGATTCATTGGCTGATCTGGTTCATTCACGAACAGAACTCTGCTCTAGAGTCCTGCGCGGGACAGTTTTCTTAATCGCACTTCTACAACATAAGTATTCCGCTTTAGAAATCGCTTTTGAATGAGAGTTTGCTGTTCAATTTTCACTTTCAATTTTGCAATCACGTGCACTCTGTGTAAAGGGAGCACATTTTACAAAATCAGATATTTGTCAATGAGCTCAGGCTCTGTTGAGTAGCAAATCCTCCAGCATGGTCTGTCAGTCATCTCTCCTTACTCTCGACCTGTGATCAGTCAAATCTGATTCGTGCAGCTCCTGTATGGAGCAGAGCGGAGACTTTCAGTTTATAATTATAGTGTACGTTTCCCAATTGAACTAAATGTTTTTTTATTTCTTTAAAAAGCGTATGACCAAACACTACTACCAAGAAAAGTAAACTACTACAAGAAAACCTACAGTGCTTATGTAACTCCATTATTCTTGTAATACGCCAAATGTCTGGAAGGCAGGACCCCACGCTATATACAGTAAAACTGCCCATTCCCACGAGATTTGCGTCGTGAGATCCCAATCCCAATGCAGCGCCCTACTCTGCTCTGCTGTTTATTTGGAAGTGTTTGTTTTGTTGTTGGAGCAACACATTTAAACATTTTCTTCACAAATGGTTTCCTCCTCATTGAATGATTCCTCCTTATGTATACAAATGGAGGGAACTTTTACACACTGACCAAAGGCAGACTTACCCATTAGGCAAAAATAGGTGACCACCTTGGGCCCCCAAAAGCCAAGGGCCCAATGTATAATTTCCTTCTCCTAAATTAAGAATTTATATTTATATTACTAATTTATATTTAGTTAAAATTACTAAAAGTAAATGTATTTTAAAGTTTTGAATTAGACAGCCTTTGGAGAGTGTATGCAATCGGGCTGAGCCCAGGCACATTGGCTTACACGGGTAACTGATCAGTGGACTTTCTTCGTCAATATAGGCTATATTTTTCACACTTTTCTCTTCACAATATTTTAAAGGTGACATATCATGAAAATCTGACTTTTCCAGGTTTTAAGTGCTATAATCAGGTCCCCGGTGCATCTACCAACCAAGGAAACGTGAAAAAGGTTAACCCAGTAACTTTGTTTTGGGAAGCCTTTTTCTGCTTATCTGAAAAAAACTAGTGCGTCTGATTTCGCTCCCTTGGTGACGTAGCAAAGGGATCTCATTATAATATTACCGCCCCTTAATCTGTAAGTTTCCACCCACGGTGCCATCATTTGATTTTGCAAGCGACAACGGTGTACCAGTTCTAATGTCATGGCAAAAGTTTGAGCAAAACATGCTAACTGTTCTGTCTTTGGCTGCACAGACGAGCACAGAACACTGTTTAGAGCTGTGACAGCCTCTTTCTGTACGTGTGCTTCGGATGTGTGCACTCAGAAAAACGTATATCAGAAGTTTAAACTCATGTGGTTTAAAACAAGTGATTTCATCACGATTAACATGATAATCAGAACCAAAACAGATGTTTTTAGCAGGTCCGAGCTGTAATGGCGCAGCTCTATTCTGGGAAAGGGGGCGGGGAGCAGCAGCTCATTTGCATTTAAAGAGACAGGCATGAAAACAGATTGTTTCTGCTTCCACTCAAAATAGGCTTTTTCAAAATGATATAATAAATGATCTGTGGAGTATTTTGAGCTTCTCAGACACATTCTGGGGACATCAGAGACGTATATTACATATTGTAAAAAGGGGCATAATATGTCTCCTTTAAGTTTTTTTTTTATTACATGAATGAATCTCTGAATGGAATTAACTGTCTCCAGAAAAGTTTCAATGGCATTTTCATTATATCTGATGATGTAGTGTTTATGAACACTGCTTTGTTTACAGCTATTACCGGGGAAACCTCTATATTTCTGACGTTCCAAAAGTACCTCCTGCTGGCAGAGGAATGTGCATTTTCAATAATCCAATCTGCAGTTTTTGTTCAGACCAATGCAAGAATCCACCCACAACTCCCTTTTTAATTTATATGATAATTTATACTTCTGACTCATCCGTTTCTTAAACAATGGTTTAAAGGCTCGATTGTGAGGTTTATCGTTTAATTTTTTATTTTTTTGTGAAAACCCATATCTCAACTGTAAGTCAATTGCTTTTTCATGGTCTACAACATGAAGGAAAGCCATTGTAGCATGTACATGAAAAATGTAGAAACATTGGACACAACTATGGGGCATCATTGTGCAGCAGCAAGCGTCACAACAAAAAAGCAAACTCAAGGTTGATCTAGATAAATGTGTGCAAATGTATAGGGCCCCATTCCTAGATTTTGCCTGGGGCCCCCAAATCACTAAATCCAACCCTTACACTGACATCATCTGATGACTTGGCATTTCAGCTTAAAGATAAAGAATTATGATCTACAAAATGAATACTGTTGACAGCACAACTACAGACTTGTATGTTTCTTCATGGAAGTGAGAAGTAAAATGATACCATCATCAGAATATTTTTTACCTTCATTTGTTCTTTTGAGTCTAAGGAGTATTTCTTCAGGATGTCCTGCAATTCATCCTTGATAATCTCCCATAACTGTTGTTTCTCAGGCTCTGGAAAGGCATGGCATTTTAAATCCTTAGTGTAAAATAAGTGTGTACATTAATGAGGAAAAAAAAATAACTTAAATGATTTTAGCAAATGGCTGCAATATAACAAAGAGTGAAAAATTTAAGGGGGTCTGAATACTTTCCGTACCCACTGTATATATATGTATATTATGTACAGGATAAGACATTTCAGAAAAGTGCAGCTTATATTTCTGTTCATTTTACTGCTAATATAAATTGTCCCATACAAAATTTAGGCTGTATTGTTATTCAAACGGTGGGACTAGTTTTAGGAGTTCGAGCAGATGATGTTCTGTTTATGTCCCTCTGACGTAGTTCCTGTGGGTGGATTTTTCTCTTTGAAAACATTTGGCTATCTTTCTATCCTTGATAAATCTATCGGGTTACTGTCTTTACATAACAGGTAACGTGTGATGACAGGAGTTGAAATACAGGATATAATGTGTTGCTTCATTTTTAAGTAATCGAATTCCTTGTAGCCTATTTTGAAAAGCGAAAATTACTCTAAACGCGAATGAACATTATGTTTACATCCACACACAACACATCTGTCTTCCCTTACCTTCACTTGCTTCATAGGACTTTTTTAGATCCTGGAGACTTTTCCTGTGATCAGAGAGAGTTTTTCTGTTTTGTTCAGATCGAGGCATCTTCTCTTCTCTTTTATTTTATTTTTTTTTATTTGTGTGGGTTGTTAGAAAACTTGGGTGAAGCAATAAAGGTCTGTCTATCTGCTTAGAGATTTCACAGCTCCAGCAGCTCAGCTCACTGGAATACATGTTCAGGAAAGTCTTGTCATTATGAGGGTGTGTCTCAGAACAGCCTGGCTTCATTGTTTATATGCAGGTATCAGTGTTTAACATTTACAGGCACAAAACATAGATTTGTGCACGTTTTGATTGATACTGAAACGTACAATTTGGACATATTGAAACATTTCAAACGTAAACATTATTACGTATTTACAAAAAAAAAAAAAAAAGAAAGTAAACTAATTTCAAACCTTTTATATCATAAAATATTTCTGTCTATGCACTTTCATCATTTTATTGATAAACAATTTAGATTTTTAGATCCCTTAACCTAAACATAACCTAGTAAATATAAAAGAGTATAAAATGTAATAGACTGATGTTCAGGAAAATTATCTAATAACTACATAGCATTAAAAAGATATTATGAGTCACTAATCACACACCTCTAAACCTACCATAAGTATTTCTTAAAAATACAGTATTAAATCAAATCAAAATTCATTTATGAAGCACAATAAAAACAACAGCAGTTGACCAGTGTGCTGTACAGAACCATAATGCATTGAGAGCGAGGAGTACATCAAAACAGCTATAAGTGACTGAGCTTCAAACTCTAGGAACACACTTACCTGAAAAAAAAGATAGGTTATTAATTTAGATTTAAATTCAGATTCTGAGAAAACTACTCTGAGGGAAACTGGGAGACTGTTCCACAGTTTCTGGCTCAACAACTGAAAAAGCACAGTCACCTCTCAACTTTAATCTAGATCTTGGGACCATTGACAATCGTTGTTCAGAAGACCTCAGAGAACTAACAAATGTATTTGGAGTTAAAGTTTCACAGAGATATTTAGATGCTGATCTGGTCAGAGCTTTAAAAACAAGAAATGCATTTTTAAAATCAATTCTGTAGCTGACCAGCAGCCAGTGCAAAGAGCACAATACAGGGGTGATACGATCAGATTTCCAAGCGCCAGTCAAAAGTCTGAAATAATGAAAAAAACTAACAAAATTTGGCACATCAAAGGCTTCAAAAATGCAAAACAATTTAATAATGGACTTCTCACAAGGTAATGTTTTGTGCTAATACATGGAATACATGTTCAGGGAAGTATTGTCGTTATGAAGGTGTGTCTCAGACAAATGTTCAGTTTGTTCACTGCTATGAGACACATTAGATGGACTGCTGCTGAAAATACTATACAATTATGAGCTGCCAGCTGAACAATATTTTCTATATAGTTATTTTATATGTATTTGTCTTACAGTGATAGGTTTGATCGGTGAGCCTACTCCCCTATGAAAACAGTCATTGTCCTCTGCAAAATGCGCTGCACACATCTGAATATTACGGTAAAACACTGTAAAAATTAAGAGTTGTAAATTAACAGTACCTTACTGGCAACCCTGCTGCCAGTAAATTACTGTTATTTAACGGCACAATTTTTTACAGTGTTAGCAAATATATGCAACTATTAGATAATAAAGGCTAGGAATAATTTATGCAAAAATTTAAAATGTACTGTAATGTTGTTACACGCATGTATGACTTCCTTTCTTCTGTGGAAAAGTTATTTTGAGAAATTACACCTCAAAATTTCTTTTAGATCCAAATGCTTCTCATAAAAAAAGCTGTGCATTCATATACCAGGTTTGATGGGTGAATAGCTGTGGTATTTTCTTATGTTTAATGTTTTCTTTTGTCATGTGTTTCAGTGCGTGTCATGCCTCTGTCTGATTTTTCAGGTCTGTCTTGTTAGTAAAAGTAACAGGTTCCTATAATATAAAAGCATAAAACACAGCAATGTTAGCAGGTTTAACTGTAAGGTGTGGAAAGGTGTGTTAATGTTCACATAAACAACAAAACATTCAGTGGTTTGCAGGAATTAAAGGCTGATAGTGAAACAGGTTCAGTTACACGTGTGAAGAACAGCTGCTGCTTGTCTAGATGAACAGCTGATCTGTGTTTGCTTTCCATTGTAACTTTCACTTTGTTTTACGCCTATAATCCTCTCTGTAATTATAATACACATTTTTTTCTCCCCTATTAATAGCTTTCCTTTAATTGTATTCAGTAGTTTCTATGTTGATTAATCAAAAACTATAATAATAATAATACATTAACTACTTTAAGTGCATATACATTAACATTAATATTAACTAATGGAACCTTGTTGTAAAGTCTTAACTATTTCTGTAACCTCACAGTGCAGCACTTGAAATGTTTTGTTTCCTTTTTAATGAATTGCTGCAGTTCGCTTTCGTCCTTATTTGTAAGTCAATTTGGCTAAAAACTGCTGAGTGATGAATGTAAATATACATGTAAATGTAAACGAACATGCTGTTTGCCTTGTTTAACCTCCATACATTATGTTGAGAAAAATGCGTTGAGTAGGAATATTTTATGTGTTTAGATGAGTCAGTTATGATATGTTCTGCATGGAAATGCAGGATGTGTGCTAGTTGATAATGAATGAAGTTCCCCAGACCTTATAAAGTCTATTGAATGGCATCCCAATAACATTGTGCAATTTTAAATTAGCAATATATAGTACAGTAATTTATATTTTATTTAGCTTTTTTTTAACAAGTATATGTTTCAGTGTACTAGTCTGTTCTTGTTTTCTGCTATTGTAAACTGTTCTTGTGTTTTATTAGATGAGTTATTTATTAGAGGAGTTTATTCATTAGATGAGTTATTGCCAGAGTAGTTTGAGTATAGGACATATCTGTGCGTTATAATATATAAGATACTGGGGGGGGGCTTCAAATGTAAAAATGGTTCAATGTACTGATTGCTAATCAAAGCAATGTTGTGCTCAGAACTGAAAGAGAGAGAACACATGGAGAGATAAAGTGCCACACATCAACAGATAGGCATTCATTCAAATATATCTTGTCCTGGGGCAGTTTCCTCGCAGGTTCACCTTTGTACCTGATCTAAACCTAAAGCTCAGTGTTTTTCCTGTGGTTTCCTCACACTGTCATACATTTCCATACAGTGACCTGCCGAGCAAAGTTTTGACAGTCTGACCTCTGATAGCGTGCAATGCAAATATTGAATTTTGAATGTTGTAATCAAATGTTGGATGAATGACGGGTGTTTGCATTGGTGTTGCTTAATGGAAATTTATGATTATACATGCAAATAAAAGCATGAGCTGCTGGACAAATTTAACCTCCATAATCCCCCTCATGTCACGCATCTGCTCCAGTCTCTTCTCTGGCTGAAAGAATTCAAAACTTGTCTTAAATTTTGTTTTACATTATTGTGTTTTTTTAGAAATTATTATTAGATTGTGCACTTTCTCCTTTAAACAAGCACATTTTATATGGATTTCCTGCAATCTGAAGACAAAGACTCCACAAAAAAATCTTCAGTGTGTGTGCTTGTGATTTACAGGAGCACTTGTTAATATTTCATATGCTGTTTTATTTTCTGTTGAGGTACCTACATAATATGACAGATTGAATAACTGAGAGTCTTTGAAGAAGCTGCAGGGTTTCATCTTGATCTTGTGCTGCAGAGACAATCGGCTTCTTACAGCTGAACTGTTTGTGATTTCAATAGTCTCTCGTAGTTAATTGCTTTATGAATGTTGCTGATCGTTATATATCATTTCACGAGAGACTCATTTTGCACTGAACAATCAGATTCCTTCCAGATCTAAATGCGGCCACTGTGTCACTTTCAGTTTCAGGAAACATCACAGATTTTATTCACTCTTTCATACAACACTTACAGTATCTACAGCTCAATCTGTATTTGTTGAGTTAAATATGTCATTTACATACATGGACATTTCATTTTAAAATGGTCAATCATAAGTTAATCACTAGAATGTTCTTAATTTCATTTGGTTCACATGACTGTATGAGTGTTTGTGTTTACATGTTAAGACTTTTTTCTTTATGCATTTCTCTGCAGCGCTCTTCTGGGGAAAACTGGATCAGGAAAAAGTGGGAGAGGAGAGACCATCTCAGGCAAAAAGGCTTTTTTACTAATTATCGATTTCTTTAAATCAACCAATAAATTGTGTGAGAAACAGGAAGGAGTGGTGTGTGGAAAGACCGTCTCTATAATCGACACTCCAGGACTGTCGTGAAAAAAACAGCATCTGAAGACTAAATAGAAAAGTGTGTAGTTTTGTGCTCTCCTGGTCCTCGTGTGTTTCTGCTGGTGCTAAAGCTGGCTGTGAGATTCACAGAAGAGTGTGTAGATGACATGAAGTGGCCTGAGATTGCTGCACTGAAAACAGATGTGCGCTAACATCACATACAGCTCCTGATCAGAGGATTTCCTCCACAAAATGATGAGAACATGCATTATTTTAACACATTATTTGACTATTTCACACTCTTTATTTTATCTCAAGCACTGCAAGCCATGCTTCTTTTCTCTGGATTGAAAAACAGAAGGCGTTATGATCATTTTGGTGAGAGCAGATTAGGATGAGCGGAGTGCAAAGAAACATGACAATAAATTGTATTATTCAAAGAAGTTCTGCTGGTTTGCTAAAGCAGACTCATGCTGGATTAATTCTTACATTTTTTGATTTACATAAGTAGAGCATAGATGAGAGCTAGAGAGCACAACTTTTACATCTTCACATTAAACTGATGCATTTGGATGTAAAAGTTGATCTATCTATCTATCTATCTATCTATCTCTCTCTCTCTCTCTCTCTATCTATATCTCTCTCTATCTATCTATCTATCTATCTATCTATCTATCTATCTATCTATCTATCTATCTATCTATCTATCTATCTATCTATCTATCTATCTATCTATCTATCTATCTATCTATCTATCTATCTATCTATCTATCTATCTATCTATCTATCTATCTATCTCTGTCTCTCTATCTCTCTCTCTCTCTCTCTCTCTATCAATTCAATTCAATTCAATTCAATTCAAAATTGCTTTATTGGCAGCGAATTTGTTGAAGTAGATGTTTCTTATGGATTTGTATTTATGACAGTGAAGGAGGAAG